AATCTATTCATGGCACACTGGGAGGAGGAATTCATCCATGGTGATCGTAGATGGGATGCGAACCTCGTGACCTATCGTCGTTACATAGATGATATATTTTTCATTTGGGATGGAGATGAAGAGTCACTGATGTTATTTTTAAACCATCTTAATAATAATGAATGGGGTATTAAACTCACCAGTAATTTTAATAAAAGTTCTGTAGAATTCTTAGATCTTAATATTTATGTCGAACAAAATATGCTCAAAACCTGTACTCATTTTAAGAAGGTAGATGTGAACAGCTATATAGGGGAGAGTAGTTGTCACTTCTCCCCTTGGCTGCTAAACGCTCCTAAAGCGCAACTACTCAGGATGAAAAGAAATTGTACAGACCAATGTAAATTTCAAGAACAATCAGAGAAAATAATTAAAGATTTTAGAGAAAAGGGATACAAAGATGAACTTCTAGAGAAAGCCCTTTTTGAAGTGGAGAATGAGGATAGGACACACTTAATAGAATATAAAGGAACGAAAGAGAACACAGAACCACAAAATTTGAAATTTATCTGTGATTTTAACCATAATAGTGGGCGCTTGAAGAAGATTATTCGAAAATATTGGCCCCTATTAAAAAATGACCCCATATTAAATTCAATACTTCCAGATCAACCAGATGTAGTGTATAGAGGTGTGCCAAATCTCAAAAGGACTCTAATAAAGAATCATATACCCTCAAGGAAATTGACAGACCAATTTTTTAAAGAAAAAACTGGCTTTTATGGATGTGGCATGTGTGGAGCATGCAAGGGTTCTAAAAGTTGTAAAAGAACAATAGGAGAATTCTGTCATCCACAAGAAAAAAAGAAAATATTCAAGATCAAACAAATAATTACTTGCCATACAACTAAAGTAATTTATATGATCACATGTCCCTGCGGGTTAGCCTATGTAGGAAGAACTAATAGGACCCTAAACACTAGAATCCAAGAACATATTAGGAATATCAGAAAAGGATTCCTTAACCATAGTGTATCTTTGCACTTTAAGAACCATCATAATAGCAATCCACAATTAATGACGTTTATGGGAATTCAGAAAATAGTCGGAAATTGGAGAGGTGGTGATCCTATTAAATTAATTGGACAAACAGAGATGAGATGGATTTTTAATTTAAACACTATGCAACCTTATGGTCTTAATGATGATTTTGAATTATGCCACTTTTTATGATTTGTTAACATATTTTAAGGACATTTATTTAAAACTTTTTTATATATATATTTTTTTATATACATATATATATTTATAAGTATTTTCTATTTGGCTGAAACATCATTAATACCTTGCACTGTTACTTAATGCATGTGTCTTTTATGTATATACTTCTCTGTTACATTACCTCCTTGAGAAATATTTAAACTAATTAATGCACTTTATTGTTTATGTTTAAATGCTCAAATGTGAGCATATTTGCCTCAGGACTGAAGATTTGAAACAAAACTGTGGTCACTACTTTGAGTACCAATACTCTTTTTACCAATATATTGCTGGATTGGACTGAACTGTGAATGCCAGTACTTCCAGTACTGCCAGTACTTCCTGCCATTAATCAAAATGAATTTGTTAGAATGAACTGGAGGAGGAGTTGGGACACCTTTTGCAATCTTTCGAAATGGGAAGTGACGTCAGCGGAGCTAAAAGAAGAGAGACCGGAGCAAATACTACTTTTTCATATTCCCGGAAGTGACGTCACCCACGCGATTACACGCACGTGCGCGATGACGTCACCGTCAAGGGATATAGCATTACAGCTGGATTATTAGACCCTCCCCTGTAAGGACGTCCGTGATTGGTTGATGTCCGATCTGTGGCCACCAATCAGGACGGAAGGCAGGGATTTTAACCAGGAACTAGACAGGATGGAAATTACCAATTGAGAAAGCCGAACGGAATCGGCGAAACGCGTTTTGGACTCACCTATATACTGTATGTATCATATTTATTTTAAATTGAATGTAATAAATATTACCTTTTATTCAATACACGTATATTTGGTGCATCTTCCATCCTGCTAAAGAGGGAAGGAGTCATCCCAAAAGGACTCATATGCCTATTTACTTAGAGCCAAGTCATAGGCTCTAATTCAGGTGAGAAGCAACCTTCACCATTATATGCATGTTTATATATTGCTGTTTTAAGGATCTCAACACCAGGGCGAGTTTTCCCTGTTCTCCCTCTCTTTGTTTTTGAGGAGTATATTCCATTTGGACTCAAGGGGTGTATGCAACCTTAAAGATACAAGACAAGAGAGATTTGAGCCAAATTCCTAATAGGCTCTGGACTACCTATACAATACTTTCTACACCCCTAAGAACTCTGGGGAGTAAGTTAATATTATAGCGCTACACATTTTCACTCTTACACACTGGTTGTGCAAATAGTGTATTGTTTCACATTATAACCACAAATCAGCCAAATCCATGCAGGGTTAAAAAGTTAGCTGGAGGTCCCTTAATGACCGACCAGCAAGCTTATTTTCTTGCCCAAAACAGTTCCATAGATTTGGGCTGTGCGGTCGGTCTATTTCAGGCTGAAAAAAACGACTAAGTCCCATCGCCGATTGGGACTTAGTCTCTGCAGCTGTAAAACCAGTAGGGGAGAAGGTAGAGCTCAGCGGTGTTCGCGGAAATGTGTAGCCGATTTTAGTTCCATGAATTTGGCTACACATACCGCTGAACTCGTCGAATGGTCAAAGATGGCCGCCGCCATGTGTTCTGCAAACGAACAAAGGCCACCCAGCATTCTGCCACTAAGTTGCGGTTAACCGCAGCTTCTGGGAGGTAAATTGCCTGCACACTTCCACTTCTGGGTGGTCTGCCTGTGTGGTACTTGGTTCAGTAAGCCCCATTTACTGAACCAAGTGGGAAATAGCCAGGCAGGCACAAAGGGTTTGCACCAGGTCTGGGGACACAGGGGACACCGTCTTAAAGGGGCAGTGTCCCCAACAAGTCTGGGGACACGGCCTTAAAGGGGCAGTGTCCCAATCTTCCTGATGTCCCAAAAAGGGTGTTTAAAGGGCCAGCACCAGTCACATAAAGAGTCCATAAGCCCCAATATGCCCACCGACAGTCTTAAAGGGCCATACACACCAAATAAAAGTGCATACATTTTCACAGTCTCCCAGGGGCCATAGTCATGTGGAAGGAGGCTGGCAAATAGGCTTCTCCACAACCCAGGGAAGCAGGGCAATTTTCCATTTAAAGGGCCAGTTACAAATGGCAGTCTGTAACATATCTCCCCTTTTGGAGGGAGACTAACCAGGCACCTGACCTCCTGTCGGTCAGTGCCTAAGTTAGTCTCCCAGCCCACCCACAAATAACAAGTAGCAAAGTAGCCCCCCCACAATAAAAAGTACTGGCCTGTAGGTTCCAGGTTGTAGGATGAAAATGTAGCATCCTCTTCCTTCCTGGTGCAGCTGGGCAATAGTGGTGTCGCGAACCCGAAATTTTCGGTTCGCGAACGGCGAACGCGAACTTCCGCAAATGTTCGCGAACCGGCGAACCGGGCGAACCGCCATAGACTTCAATGGGCAGGTGAATTTTAAAACACACAGGACTCTTTCTGGCCACAATAGTGATGGAAAAGTTGTTTCAAGGGGACTAACACCTGACTGTGGCATGCCGGAGGGGGATCCATGGCAAAACCCATGGAAAATTACAGTTGATACAGAGTCTGGTTTAATCCATAAAAGGGCAGAAATCACCTAACATTCCTAAATCACAATCAATATGGATTGACACCTGACATATGACATATTATTGACACCTTGACATATGGATTGACATTCCGTCCTCAGAGCCTTGATGCACACGGACACAGAGCAGAATAGAGACTACCACATAGGTCACTTGGCAGATATGGATTGATACCTGTCCTAAGGATCCCTGATACACACTGACAGAGCAGAATAGGGACTGTTCCCCCTGCATAGGGTCACTTGGCAGATATGGATTGACACCTTGTTACAAATTGCTATTTGTAACGGGCCCTTTAAATGGCAAATTGCCCTGCTTCCCTGGGTTGTGGAGAAGCCTATTTGCCAGCCTCCTCCTGCATGACTATGGCCCCTGGGAGATTGTGAAAATGTATGCACTTTTATTTGGTGTGTATGGCCCTTTAAGACTGTCGGTGGGCATATTGGGGCTTATGGACTCTTTATGTGACTGGTGCTGGCCCTTTAAACACCTTTTTGGGACATCAGGGAGATTGGGACACTGCCCCTTTAAGGCCGTGTCCCCAGACTTGTTGGGGACACGGCCCCTTTAAGACGGTGTCCCCTGTGTCCCCAGACCTGGTGCAAACCCTTTGTGCCTGCCTTGCTATTTCCCCACTTGGTTCAGTAAATGGGAAATTATTTCAGCTGCAGAGACTAAGTCCCATTCGGCGATGGGACTTAGTCTTTTTTTCAGCCGTTTTTTTCAGCCTTATTTCAGCTGCAGAGACTAAGTCCCATTCGGCCATGGGACTTAGTCTTTTTTTCAGCCTGAAATAGACCGACCTCACAGCCCAAATCTATGGAACTGTTTTGGGCAGGAAAATGTGCTTGCAGTCGGTCATAAAGGGACTTCCAGCTAACTTTTTAACCCCTGGATGGATTTGGCTGATTTTTGGTTATGTTTATGTTTTAAGTGTGCTGATTCCAAATATGTAATTATGAAGATGGATGTGTAGTTTTAAAGTTACAGGGTATGGCTAAAAACTGTATTTTTACTGCCTGTGTTTAATTATGTTAATCTCTTCCCAAACGTCATTTCGTTCAAAGTGGAGAGAATGTTAAAAAAATATATTTTGTTCTGAGTGTGAGAAATGCTTTTCAGCCGCTTCTAATC